CCACCCCCCCCCCCCCCCCCCCCCCCCCTCGCACCCAATTGAGTTGGAGCGATCTACGGAGAGCAATATGCGACCAAGTTACACACAGGTATTTCATTCGATATGGCTGGTGCTTTCCGCTGCCCACGTGCGGCAAAATTTATTCCAAAAGTCAAGTACACAGAGCATGATCTATCTGTACTTGGGGAGTAGCTGGAGTAGCTCTCCTTTCGCCCGAAACAAGAAAAAACACAACCAGATAATCCCACGCTTGCCGCCCCGAGGGTACCGTCTACGGCACACGCAGCGGCACTGGTCAACCCCCATCCCGCTACAACAACAACAATAACAGCAGTATCAAAAGGAGCTATCCTCTCTCGAACTAAGTCATCTTTCTCATTGTTTCTTATGTACAATCTCTCCCCCCCCCCCCCCTCTTCTTGCCTTCTTCGCGCATGGCGTCAGTCCCATCCCCCCGCCACCAAACCAACCACCTGAGCGGCATCTCTCAGGCCGAAAAATTCGAGAGTAAAAGGCAAAAACGTGGATCTCGCGTTGGGTGGAAAGCGGCGCAGCGGGCACGCACCACGCCTACCTTCCTCAATCGCCGGAAGGGGGAAGGGCCAAGACCAGTCCGTCTTCAAACACCAACTCGGGCCCACTCGCAGGCACCGCCCCCCCCCCCCGCACGCCGAAACAAAAAGGACACCCCCCCACACAAACACATCACGTTTTTTTCATCCCGGCGGGTCTTGAAGAAAAACACGCGAAGGAAAAAATCGCCCCCCCATCCGCAAAAACGGGCCGCCCCCGTTTGTCACTCCACCCCCTGGGGCTCACCCCGCCCCTGTTAATCCCCGCCGCCGCCGCCGCCGCCCCCCCCCTGGGCATTATTCTCCTCCTCCGCGCCCTGGCCCGCCGTTTCTTCGCGGGGGGGATCGAATGCACCCTTTGCGGCCCCCGCCGCCGCCGCCGCCGCCGTCGCTGGGAACCCCCTTCCTTCCTCTGCCGTTTCCCCCATTAAGGAAAAGTTCACGGGGTTGTTTTCGTCCTTCGCAAAGGGGGCACCCGGGGCCGCGGCCCCATTTTAAAACCATGTTGCCCAAAGGTGATGTTCCCCTTTTTGGTCAGTCGCCTT